TTGACCTCATGAGGATCAACACCAATGCCATAGACCTTCGACTTGTTGAAATTAACACTCAAACCGAAGGATACTTGAAAACACTTAAGTATCCTTGCCAGGTTTTTATGTTTTGTTTTGACCATCTCCAATGAAAAGGGCATCGTCAGCATAGAAGAGATGAGAAATCTGAATATTGGAGTTAGGAATAGATATTCCTTGAAAAACTCCTTTTGAATACGCTTCCTTTAACGCAATATTTAATCCCTCCATAACCAATATAAAAAGAAACGGTGATAAGGGGCCTCCTTGCCTTACGCTTCTCTCTAGTTTGAATTCTGCCGTTGAACGTCCATTCACCAAAATCGATGCCCTAGCTGACTCTAAGCATCCCTTCATCTAAATTCTCCATTTTATTCCAAAATTCATTTGTTGCATCATAGAGTCTAGGAAGTTCCAATTCACCGAGTCAAAGGCCTTATTGAAAAAAGCTTTGTAAAGTAAAAAAAAATTTGTTAGTTTTCTTCCCCCACGAAAAAATCTCATTTACGATAAGAGGTCCTTCTAGGATGTTACTCCTTCCACAAAAGTTGTTTGTACTTCATCAATACATTCCCCTATTACCGAGCGAATTCTTGTTGCTAAGAGTTTTGCTATTATTTTATATAAGGATCAATTGACGCTAATTGGTCTATAATCACCCAAAGAAAGCGAGTCTTTAACCTTCACCACAAGTGTTATAAAAGAGGAATTGCATCCTTGTGAGAATATTCCCTACTTTTCGGCACTCCATGCCATGCCACTACTTCTCGCGCATAAAACTCGGCCAACTTTTCGGCCGAGATGCTCTCCTAGATCGGTATGAATTGGGTTCTCTTGGTCAACCGATCTACCATGACCCAAATCGCATCAACCCCACGTGCAGTCCTAGGAAGCTTAGTGATAAAATCCATAGTAATGTCCTCCATTTCCACACGGGGATGTCTAACGGTTGCATCTTGTCGTCAGGCCTTTGGTGCTCTGCCTTGACCTTCCTGTATGTAGGGCACCTCTCTACGTACTAGGCGACTTACCACTTCATGCAGGGCCACCAGTAATTGGGTCGAAGATCTCTGTACAACTTCTTCGCCCCGGGATGGATAGAGAATCTAGACTTGTAGACCTCATCCATCAGTATCTTCCATACTCCGCCCTAGTACGGTACCCAGACCCTCCCATGAAATGTCGACAACCCACGTTGTCATAATCAAAGGAGGCCACGTGGCTTATAATTCATTCACACTTCCGGCGCTCCTCCTTCAGGTCCTCGACCTGCATCTCTCGGATCTGCTCCAACAATGGAGTAATCACTGTCATCCTAATACAGATGTCTCGGATTGGGGCCGCTACTGCCTTGCGACTCAGGGCATCAGCCACTATGTTGGTCTTGCCCGAGTGGTAAAGGATCTCACAATCGTAGTCCTTAACCACATCTAACCACCGACGCTACCTCATGTTCAGATTTGGCTGATCCATGAGGTACCTTAAACTCTTTTGATCTGTGTAAATGGTACAACGGACCCCATAAAGGTAGTGTTGCCAAATATTGAGGGCGAATACCATAGCCCCAACTCTAAATCGTGTGTCGGATAGTTACCTCGTGAGGCTTCAACTGTCTCGAGGCATAAGCTATTATATGACCCCGCTGCATCAACACTGCTCCCATGCATGTGATCGAAGCATCACAGTAGACTAAGAAGTCATATATACCCTCTGGCAGAGTGAGAATTGGTGCCTCGCACAATCGCTGCCTGAGCGTCTCAAAAGTTGCCTGCTACTTTCGGTTCAACAGAACTGTATCTTAGGAGATTATTACTTATTATTTCTAGTACAATGAAACATACAAGAGTCAGTTCATACATGAGTCAGTTCAAACATACTATAATTAGAAACAAGGAAGAACATACTATACACTATACAAAGAGAACATACTATATACTATACAAAGAGAACATACAATACACTAGGACATAGAGAACATACTATATAAATACAAGAATACGATAACATTAATGTAAGCCACTACTTCGTGGCATGGCATCATACTGTTGTGTCACGTTTTGTAACCAGAGTCTCCTGGAGGGAGAGCGTGAATTTGTGTATAGATCTATACTGGATTGACGATCCTACACCTTATTCTTAGCTATAGTGGGACCTGCAGGTCGACGGGTGACGAATGCCATAACATTTCGATGTCTTCGAGCATCGTGTTTTCTACTAGTAGATAAAGCATGGTTACAATCATATCACATTACACCTTAATTAATAATTGGTTGAAGGTAGTTAGTACAACAATAGTTACTATATACAATACTGCAATACATTATTATTTTCCCATTGCATTCACTTTGTGATCTTCTCACATAAACGGTAAAGTAAAACTATATTTTGATAATGATAGTCATACTTGGGAAAAACATTCACTTTTACAAACAAACAACATTCAGAACATTCAGGCCTTGGTAGAAGGCTACATTTCTAGTAGAAAATATAGGATTTTCTAGGAGATACAAACATTTACTACAAACGCTTACAAACATTTTCAACTAACATTTACAAACACTTTCTTCAAACTTATACAACATTTGAAACTAAATACTTATGAACTCACCAGCTTAAATGTTGATCCTCTCTTTCAAAATAACTTGTATTCTCAGGTCACCAGTAGACAGGTACCGATGACAAGTTTTGAGAAGACAGAGCACTTCCAAGACTCGTCTTTATTTTGATTATTCATTTTTTAGTGTCTTATTATTGCGCACAACACACTTGTATTGAATTATACTATTAATGCAATGGATGATGTTGTTGCTTGTTTACTATTATGCATTGTTGTGATACTGTACATGACGTCCTCTGCCCTCGAATGTTTCCGCCAATTCGGTTTGGGGGTGTGACAGCATCGGACCGAGGTCCGGTATATATATATATATATATATATATATATATATATATATATATATTAACAACAATACATAACACATAAACATGTAAAGCTTCCTCGGGCTTGCCCCGACACCGGACCAAATTCCGGAACACATAACACATAACATATAAGCTAAATCTTCATCGGGCTTGCCCCGACATCAGGCCGAAGTCTGAAACATATAATAAGTACATGAAAGAATCACAAAGACATCAAGCATACAACATTCCTCGAGCTTTCCCCAGCATCAGACCGAAGTTCGAAACATATAAACTGCATCGGGCTATCCCCGGTCATTGGACCTAAGTCCGGTATACACTAACATACATGAACGGGCCGACATTGGTGCCTTCGACCCATTCCTACGGGAGGAAAACTCACCTCGTAAAGTTGTCTCTAAAATCTCGAGGTGAGGAAAATTTGATAACTGCTCCAACGTCTCCCCGGCTATCAAAATCACAATAATACTTAGTCAAGATCTAAAAATCCTTCTCAGGGTAAAATGACTATTTTACCCGTGGTCAAAGTCAACGCTCTTGTCAATGTCAACTCCCAGTCAACCCAACTTGCCGATTTATCTGCTAACTCGTCGAGTTCTATGCTATTAGACACGTTGATAACTGAGTCAACTCGTCGAGTCCCTTCGCAGACTCGCCGAGTTTTATCTAATACAGACTCGGGACAAAACGAGTCACTCGTCGAGTCCCTTCACAAAGCTTACTCGAAAATAGAAAAGGTTTGGGGACCATGACTCGACTCGCCGAGTCTCATGAACAACCCATCGAGTCCCTTGAATGCCAAAGCCATATAGTCGATTCTAATAACTTCCAATGCTTCCATCTCACAGATTTGGACTACTTAGGTTAGCATAACACGTAAGTTGCTAACCTTACGTGCATGCATGGTGTTATGAAGCTAAAACACCAAAACCAAACTAAAATGAAGACCTAATGCATGGAATGGGGACATGGTTGAATAAAGATGGCAACTTTGAGCTTCTAGAGCTCAAGAGTGCCCATATCTGAATTCCTTATGCTCCCAAAAGCTCACAACTCGGAAATGGCCCAAAAATGACAACATGCAACCCTAGAAGAAGATCTATGTGAAAAGAAGCCAAGGTATAACCTTTATACCTCCAAAGGGCCTGAAATGCAACACAAGCTTTGGATCTGCTGCTTCTTCTTGAATTACCAAAGGTCTCCTTCCTTCTCCTAGCTTCAAATCACACAAAATGGCAATAAACTAGCTCAATAACACACAAGGTTGATTAGGGTTTCGAGAGTGTGTTGTGGAGGTGATGGAGGCTAGGGTGGAGGCCTGATATGATGCTTAAATAGGGTGCAAACCCTAAAGATTAGGGTTTCCTCCTGACAGACCTACTTATCGAGTCAAAGCTTTCGACTTGTCGAGTAGAGCACTTAAATATCGCGTCCCAACTGGCATCTACTCGACGAGTTAGGGCTACCAACTCGTCGAGTAGCTCTTAAAAAATAAATACTTAAATAAATTATATGTGTACCAAGAACGAGACGTTACAATTCTTCCCCACTTGTCTGTGTCTGAAAACAACTCTAGGTAGTGCTCCATCATCTCCTCCTCGGGCTCCCAAGTCTTCGAGCCCTTACGATACTGCCACTGTACCTTCACTAGCTCGACCCTCTTGTTCCTCAGCTCCATCGTCTTGCGATCCAGAATCGCCACCCGTCTCTTAGTGTAATTCAGGCTGTCATCAACCTGAATATCCTCTAAGGGTACAACCGCCGTGTCATCCATTAAGTATTTCCGTAGCTGTAAAACATGGAAGGTGTTGTGGATCTGGCTGAGCTCGACGGGAAGATCTAGTCTGTACGCTACCTTGCCCATCCGGATGTGAGCAAAATATGGAAAAGATAAGGATGAAATGCAATTAAATACTAATTGTGTGTGTGTGTGTGTATATATATATATATATATATATATATATATATATATATATATATATATATATATATATATATATATAAAAGAGTTGATAACTACTTATTGCAATTTATAATCGCAATAACTAAATAGACGGAGGACTCGTCTTAGAAAATCCAGAAATTTTGTCATCTTCTTTGTTGGGGCAGAGAAGTGTAAAGTGTAAACACTAAACAAGAACCCTTGTCGTTCTCGAAACCTATCTAGTCGGTGCTCGTGATTTTTTCCGGTGAGTACGCATCATCAGAGCTCACTTTTTCTTCCTTCTGTCATCTGCATACGTTTATATGTATCTAATTCAAGCATTTTTGGCTGCATTCTACTGTGTATATGTTTAGGTTTTTATGGAAATATGTTTTGACTTTCGTATGAAGACGCCATAGCCAACACGTTTTAATGATGCAATTATTGTAGCTCCCATAGTTCCAACTTTTTCAATTGTTTATAATTCTCTTTCGTTCTTATGCGATAAAGCTACACTCAGCATTTATCGAGCTTTTTTGACATTCTGATGAATTTTTCTCTGCAGAGACAGAATAGTACAATTTCATAACCGGTGATGCAAGTTCAGAAGTGGAGATGGCTGTGGTTTGCGTGAATGGCTTCCATTACTGACCTACTGTTGCTCTCTCTCACTCTATCGTTGAAACACATCTTAGATTTAATTCTGTGAGGAAGTTATCTAATGAGAAAGAGGGGAAGAAAAGAGAAGAAAATGGGAAGAGCACCATGCTGTAACAAAGGTGAAGTGAAGAAAGGTGCCTGGACTCCTGAAGAAGATAAGATACTCATTGATTACATCACTAAGAACGGCCATGGCACCTGGCGTTCTTTTCCTAAACTTGCAGGTTTCATTCTCCTCTCTCTGCTTTCAGTTTCATTTTTATTTTCGTAACGGACAATCTACTATATTATTCTTCCATCCAACGTATATAGCGTGTGTGTTCATCGATCCCCAATTAAGCGTTAATCTATTTGACATCTTCAATCTACTGATTCAAATATACAGTCTGTTCATCCATCCCCAATTTTAATGTTGACGGTGTTTAATTTCTACTGTTCTACGCATGCTTTAATTTATTTTCTCCGTTAATGTGTTGAAGGACTTCAAAGGTGTGGAAAAAGTTGTCGTCTCCGATGGACAAACTACCTTCGTCCTGATATCAAACGTGGCGCCTTCAGTTTTGAAGAAGAACAAACAATCTTCCGTCTCCACAGCTTACACGGCAACAAGTAATGAATCACTTCACCTTCATCTACTAAACAACAATCAATCTGCATGTCTATAAACATCAAATAAATACTATTATTCAGGTGGGCAGCCATTGCTGCACAGTTACCAGGAAGAACCGACAACGAGATCAAAAATTTCTGGAATTCTCATTTACGAAAACGGATTCCCAGCCTTCAAACCGACCTACCTTCAAATTCAACAGATACGAAGAGCAACAGAGTGGAGAATGTCGCAAAACCAGAAGATGAAGCCAAGCCAGCAATGAATCCCATGAGTCACAGCGATAACTTCCACCATGAATGGGGTTCTGGAGCTTTTCAGAAGGGTTTTAACAAGGTGACGACGTATGGTATCCCAAACCCTATAAAGATTGAACCAGTCTCTTTTGCGACAGTTCAAGCAAGTGAATCTTGCGATCAGAGTGTGAAGGAAGAGATGACAAATGGTTCAGAGTCTCAAAACTCTAACGAAGCACAGAATGAATTGGATATAACATTGGATCTACTGCTAGATTTTCCTAACGATGGAGAGTATTTGCAATATGTATAAGCCAGCCTATGATGTATAATAAGGTCAGTGGTATAATAATGAATTATTAGTGTTTAGGAACTGAGAACAGACATCAATGAATAAAAACTGTCACTTTGCTATATATAATGTACACAAATTACACTAATATGTTATATATGCACACCAAATAATGAATCATTAAACAAATCATACACAATAAGAGAATATTGTAAAAGTAAACACACATCAACAAATAAATAAAATCAAGTTCCTGAAAAAAGCACACTTTGTGATTAAAACCATCCAAGCAGTTTCTTTGGGGTTTCGCCAGTAGCTCGACACTTGGCTGCAACCTCTTCGGCTTTAATAAGATCTTCTCCGCATTTGGCTTCTGCAATGGCTTTCTTTTCTTCTGCTTTTTTATGGAGAAGAACTATTTTGTTCTTCATCTTCTCTATATACTTTGCCTTCTTCTTCTCCAAATCCTCCTGTTTTTTCAAAGCCCTAATTAGATCTGTTTTCATAACTTCTTTTCTGGGTTCGATTTATATTGGTAAATTCAAATTTTGTTACCTCCATCTTCTTCAATTCTGCCTCTAGGTCGGCTTTCTTGCTGTTTTCCCATGCAATGATGGAAGATAGCTTCTGTTGAGCTCTATGTAATCATTTAATTATATCAGTTTCATATAGTAAAGTAGTAATCAACGAATTTGAACACCCAAAATTTCATAAAAACTGAAACTTTGTTCTTACTTGTTTTCAGCTTTAGACTTCTCGCTTTCTTCCCATGCTGTAATAAGAGCTAACTTCTTCTCTGTTGCAACTTTAGCAAGAACATCATCTGAACAAGTAACCAAAAAAAAAAACTTATTTTTCTTTAATCATCAAAAAGATTTTACAGTTAAATTCTAGTTTAGAATTTTGATCATAATTTCGGTTTCTTAGATTACCTCTGTTGATAGAACCCTCTTTAGGTTTCTCCTCACACACTTCCGTTGGTTCTGTCATTTTATCAAACAGTTAGTCTGCATAACACCAATTCTTCAAACAGAAACCATACAAAACATGGAGATTAGAGATATTACTTTCGATTATGGCGAGAGCTTTAGTATCATCGGTAGGTTTTTCTTCATGAACATGGGGTTCGACTGGGACGATAGCTTTCTCGACGGCGGCGACTGGTGGCTCCGGTGGGCATTCGGATTCTACCTCAACCTTCATGGTGTCTTCGAGTGTCATATCTTTATTTTGTTGTTGTTTGAATAATGAATATAGGATTCTGAAAGAGAAATGGAAAGATTCAAGTGTGGTTAGGAAAGGACAAGGAGGATGATAGTTATAGATTACTCGATTACAGTATTATATTACGAGTTGAGCTGAGCTGGCACGCCCACCATTACCAGACTGTTTCATTTCTTTTCTTTTCTTGAAGTTTTACTTTTTCAAATTAAAGATTAAAGATATTTCATAAAGAACATCAAGAGCCGTTGGTGTATCATGTATGAGTGCACCACCTTACTTTTGCATGCTTTTTTTCTTTCTCTCGACACTTTTTTTTGTTATTAGTTTATGGTTATTATTATGTTTTACATCTCTCATGATTCTTTTGTATACAACAAACAGGTTAATCTAAAAACCAGTCGCATGTTTTAAATATTATTTATGTGGTAAAAGTAAACTAGCTAATATTTTGAATTTGGGATCACAAAGTTGTAGCTTTCACTGTAATTTCATGGTTTGATTGAAGCATGTCTTAACAGAAAAGAAAAAAAATAGTAAATGCAATTTTATCGTTGATTAGATATATTAATATAATGCTGTAATAGAAAATTAAGAGCGGCATGTATAAACTTTTTGGTATTTAGCCATATGTCAACAAATGACGTGACATAATATGTCTGATTTTAATATCAATGATAAATTGAAAAAAGGGTTAAAATAGATCTCGGTGAGGTTTTAGATGAGCTGTTTTTATATGTTAACATAAATTCTTATTTGCAAATAATTATAATAATAAAGAAATAAATAAATAAATAATATTGTTATTTCCGAAACCTTTTGACCTAAAATCAAACACAAAGAACAAAGAAAAAATCTAAAAGAATTTATAAATCGTACCAACTATTAGTAAGATGTCAAAAGAAGCAGATGATTGGTCACTTTATTGCTGGGAAAATGAAATTATTTTGGAAATCATCCGTAAGAATTAGCGTATGGTTATTAACTTAATTTTTTTTTTCATGAACTGTAAATCACTATTGTTTAAAAATCTAAAAATAATGCTCTACGTCACTTGAAAATATAAACAAGTTATTGAATAAAGTAAACGTTATATTTTTTTATTCTTGATTTATTAAAATAAGGATTGTGTATTTGTATGATTATTTATCAAACTGGAATTGCTATTGCTGTAAAGCAGCGTAGAGTATGCAATACCAGAGGATCATGGCTCCAGCCCAAAGTTTGGTTGGTGAGTTGTCTGCTCTTTGCCTCTTTGTTCACTCAACCACTTAATTATTGAATAAACTCCACTTGTAATCATTTTTCACGATAATTAAATTAAAATAAACTTTATTTTCCTTCATGTTTATTAGAGTAGAATCAAGACTTCTTGTTTACAACAACGAAAATACAAAATTATTAGATTGGAAAGAATGAAAATTACTAAAATGGATTGCTAATTTACGTAAATGACTAGAACACATTATTAAAATAGACCAACTAACTATAACATGTTAATATTATTGGGATAATCACAAAATTAACTCAGAGATATATTAGACCTAACTTTTGAATCACCTGCTCCATAATGGTCATTTGGGATTTCAAAAAAGATATAATGTGTATTTTTATCATATGATATATAATATGTAATTTTTTATTAAATTTGCTTCAAATATTTTTCAAAAAATCTATCTTTCCATAAATCTGAACTATTTAATATCACTTATTTATTAACTAAATGATACATTTTATGCCTGTATTTTGTAATTAGATTTATTTTGCTATGTTTATTTAACTTTTGTTAAATTTAAATTAGAAAACAAAGTAATTTTTGAAAAAAAAAATTCAGACTTATTTATCGAATTTTGGACATGTTTTTTGAATTTCAAAAGAAGTTTTTCTCAATGTTTAGTCTAGACTCTGTACATCGATATTTGAATATAAATTCAAACTTTTTTAAGAAAATTTTTGAATGATATAAAATTAATCTGAAATAAATTTAGGCCCCGTTTGATATGCGTCCGACCGAATCAAATCAGACGTTTTTGGCTGACTCGGTCAATAAAATGTGTTTGATAGTCCAACTTTAGCCATCTGACTCAGTAAAAAATGTCTGACTAAGAAAGAAAGCAAGACTATACAATAATACCTTTGACCTTAGATAAACAAGTAAAATGGGAGGTAACAAGAATTGAACTCAGGTCTCTCTTATAAATATAATGATGTTTACCAACAAGTTAAAGAGTTTTTTGTGTTTTAATCTTTAAAATACTATATTTAATGTATATTATGCTGGAAGTTTTGTATACATTATTATTATTATTATTATTATTATTATTATTATTATTATTATTATTATTATTATTGTTGTTATTATTATTATTACTATTATTATTATTATTATTATTATTATTATTATTATTATTATAAATAGCATCAGGGTAAAATGATCATTTTGCATCAGTCAACATATTCAGTCAGATATATAATCAAACAATATAGTTTCTTACTCAATCAGAACTTATTACTCAGACAGACATTTCTTAATCAACACTTTCTCAATCAGTAACTATCAAACGACCCCTTCATCTGGTCTAAGATGTTTTGGTTTGAGCTGCACTCAAAACTCGGTTATGATGAAATAACTGCTCATTTCTCGACAATAGTATATTATGTGTAGAAAGTAATAACATAAAATTAAAAATTATATAAACTTCAACATATAAATACTTCCAAAATATAAATCATAGAAAATAACGAGTGGCTAAAACAAAGATCGCTAATAATTGTCACCAACTCAGCAACGGCTATTCCAAGAAAAAACAGAGATGCAGATTCTATTGCAAGCGATTAAATTTTAAAAGGTTCCCTTAGACTATTTAGTGTTTCGCATATCTAACCCTTACATATGCAAGTGTTGAATTGGTCATATTCAAAGGTTGAAATGATAAAATTCAGCCTATGACAGATATACTTAAAGATAAACATGAAATGAAATCATTCTCTTCAATATGACAATATTTTACAATTCTCTTCTTTTATACATAAAAAAGGTTTTTATAAGAACTTTATATCTTTCATTCTATAACCAAAAGATACAACATCGTAGCCGGATGTGGTTGTTTCATCAATTACACTGGTTAAATGATTAGTGTTTTATATATTTTTCAATTTACACAATCATTATATTTGTCCAACCAATTAAACATATTACAGGTAAAGTATTGCATACTTTGCTCGTAACATAAAACATATTACAAGTAAACTGTTATATTTTTCAATTTATACAGCGAATTGTGCAACCAACGAATTAAACATATTACAGGTAAATTGTTGCATACTTTGCTCTTAACATAAAATGACACATCTCTCTAATACCCACTTTGTTACGTAATTTTGAAAAATAAGAGACATCATTACAGCTTATAATTCAATACGACTTTTTGTCTAGTAAATAAGCCTCTAAAATATTTAAATGGAATAGAGTCATATAACTAATAAATCAAAACCATTATTACTAATAGTGTTGATAACGATTAAGAGCACCCACATAGGTGCTCTTTTTACTTCTTGCAAATGCCATTTAGACATAAACTAAGAGCCAGCTCATATTGTTCTTTCAACTGTTGCAAGGCCAAAGCTTATAAATGATACCGTCTTATCATATTATTACTTATTTATTTATTTATTTATATATATATATATATATATATATATATATATATATATATATATATATATATATATATATATATATATATATAATATAATATAAAAATGCCCCTTCCTTAAGAATGTAAGGAAAGTGGAGTTAGGAGGATTTTTGATTGATTTATGAGGATATATTTTTTTTTTTTGGATTTATGAGGAATTTTGGAAAACCTAGGAAAACTTTGAATTTCCATACCACCCACTAACTCTATAAATAATAAACAATAATGAGAGTTATAGAGATATATAGGTTTTGGATTACTAACATTTTTAATGTTGGCTGTAGGTTTAGGATTCAAGTTCTTTTTCTAAAGCTTGTGCTGAAGATTACTTATAATCTCAATACCATTTAATTGGACAATGTACCACCTTTATTTAAGTAAATCACAGTTATTTACTGCTAGGTATCGGTAACATCTACCAGAGCGTTTTTGGGCAATATGACGACACAAACACCCCTTCCCCTCATTGTTTTTAGGCCTGTCTGTTGCTTCTCGGTATCACCAAAACATCCTAAAAACCATATTTCCTTCCTTTTTCTCCTAAAAACACCGGTATACGTTGCCCACACTTAACAACCTTAAATTATTAAGAAAGCGGATGTAGGAGATTGCTTCTGAATTTAACATGGATTTTTCTATGATTTTTTTTTTTAGATTAATATGATAAGAGCATGATATAAATTGTTTATTTTAT